TGCTCTAACACACTAAAAAATGTTTAGCAAAGGGAACTAATTAACTTCTTTTTGCCCAGGTTTTTCCTGAACTCATTTGATCACAAGGTCTCCATACCAACATCTTATGTCACTTACATTTGTAAATAGAATATTAAACACCTTGTAGCTAGATTCTGAAAATAGGGACTCAACACGCTATTGAGATGAAATCACCAAGAACATGTCATCGTGAAGAAGGTTAGGGCAAGCAGAACAGTAGACATTAACACAAAGCTCTTGGATACCTTTCAGCCTAAATGAGATTCTTTCTGATTTACCTCAAACAAATGTAAATGGAAGGAAGGAGTCCTCAAAATTCCCAAAACCCACCGAAAGTTTACACGTTGAAAGCATCAGAGCTACTCGTATGTCAGCATTCCTTGCTACACCATGAAATCTGTTAATTACCTCCCTTGTGAAATTAATGTTCATTTTTGTATCTTTGAATATTTTTATTTATTTATTATTTGACAATTTCATGCATGTACCATGTTCAGAAGCAAGGCAAATTATCTTTCTCACCTCCCTGGACTCCGCCAATAGTCCCTCCTCTCACACGTAAGTCCTTTGGATAATTTAATAACCCACTATGTCTGGTTAGTGCTCAAATGGCGTGAGCAACCTCCAGTAGCCACATCCCTGAAGAAAAATGACTGTTCTCCCACTCGAGCCCTCCCCATGCATGCTGAGGTGTTGACTGGCTTGATCGCGTGTAGGTAACCACAGCTGCTGTGAGTTCACGAGAGCTACGAGAGCAACGGCCAAGACCAGAAGCAGCACTTCCTCGCACTCCTGCCCATCTTCCAGCTCTCACATTCTTCCTGTCCTTTACTTGGAGATGTTTCCTGAGCCTTGCGAATGTGTGTGTATGCAGTTTGCTAATTCAAGGGAAATCAATAGTCTATTCTCCGAATGTTCTAGTACTTTTGTTTTAACTGATAAAATGTCCATTTTGCAGTTAAGGTTTTTTTATTGACACATACACAGAGATTTTGCAAGTGTTCTTTGTACCGCGGGACTTATACTGATTTCTAGATGAATGTGGAAAGGAGAATGCTTGCTTTGAGTGTGCAGTGGGTTATCCTTCATTTCACACTTTCCTTGAATCAAGGAGAGAAACCTGAAACTTGGCAAGATGGCCAAATCATTCTAAAATATGTTTATAATACTTTTGTATATTTAAAAGAGCATTTCAGTTAAACATCAGTTTACATTTTAGCCTTAACTCCATCAGATAGAGGGATAATTCTTCAATAAATGCAAGAATAACCTGAATTGAATCCAGTGTAAAATCTTTGAGGAAAACTGTAAATGCTCAAGTCAGGCATATATTTAAATCAGTGATTCACACCTCATTGTGTCCTACCACAGAAAACCACCCGGAAATACAGCAGAACCCCCATGCAAGGATTCACTTTTGTGGTTCTGTTACTCACAGTTAACCGTGGTCTCAAGACACTAAATAGAAAACCACAGGACTATAAACTGACCTTATTGTATGATAATCAAATCAGTTCCAATATTAGAGTTGAAATTTCTGTTCAAATAAAACACTGAATCAGTACCTGGCAAGGTGTTTCTAAAGGACAATAGTTTAACAGCTTGTGATTTGTTCTCATTCAGTGGGCTTCCCTTGGACTCCATGAAGTGATAATATCCTGAGAGAGGTTTGAAAAAACAAACTTACTATTTTTTCACACAAGCACTTTAGTTACAGAGTTACAAAATTACCCTCAAAATACCTGTGTTAATTTTAAATGCAGAAAACTACTTGAAGATGTGTATGTGAGTATAATGTCTAACCCCCTTCAGGAAAGCCATTTTTTTTTTCTAGGAATCAGGCCAATTTGTATGGTGATTTGCAACCAGCAGACACATTATGAAGACCCTTCCTTAGAAACATGTGTGAGACTGTGAGCAATGCGTTTCCTGACTCCTAACATGAGGCAAACATCTGGAGAAGGCAAGGCTGCAGTGTGCTCTTCCACATAAGCTTGCTCTCTACAGCAAGGTTGGAGCCTCCCGGGCACTACTGTCTCGCTCATAAAGTGCAGTCTCTTTTCTTGGTCCAGAGGGACTTAAAGGTAAGAGGATCAACAGGAAGCATTACCAAACCTTTCTGGCTGTTCTCTGAAACAGCAAAGTCGCTGTAGCCTGGGAGAATGCACAGAGTAACTCTTCCTATAGAAATTATGAAAATGGAGATGTTTCCATTCCAACTGCATCATTCCTTAAAATCTGAAACATTGGTGTTGATTTCTAATGGCTACTATAATGTATTACTGCATTTATTGGTTTAGAATAATACAAATGTTATTTTAATAGAACCAGAGCAATGGTTTTCAACCTTCCCAATATGAGCTTTTTTAATACAGTTCCTCATGTGGTGACCCCAAACTATAAAATTATTTTCATTACTACTTCATAACTGTAATTTTGCTAATGTTATAAGCTGTAAACATCTGATATGTGAACAAAGGAGTCATGACCCACCACAGGTTGAGAACTTATGAACTAGAGGATGCTAGCTCTGAAATCAAGGCATCAACAAGGCTGGGCTTCTTCTAGAAGCACTAGGGGAGAGCTACTTTCTTGCCTTTTCTAGGTTCTTGGACCATTTTGAATTCTTTGGCCGTGGTCTTACATCTTCAACAGTATCAGCATAGTGTCTTCTAATATTTCCTGTACTTCTTTGTTTCTGTTCTCCCTCCCCTCTGACTCTCCAATCTTCCTCTTGAAAGAATTTTTGGTGATTACATTGAGTCTCTCCAGGTAATCCAGGACAGTCTATATGTCTCTGTCAGTCAGTCCGTCCATCTGTCCATCAGTCATCAGTCAGTCAGTCTGTCAGTCGTCAGTCAGTAAATCAGTCAGTCATCTGTCTACTATCTATCTGTCTATCTATCTATCTATCTATCTATCTATCTATCTATCTATCTATCTATCTCAATCATCTCTGTGTTTTGTTTTTTTGACAGGGTTTCTTTATGTAGCTCTAGCTGACCTAGAACTCACTCTGTAGACCAGGCTGGCCTCGAATTCACAGAGATCCACCTGCCTCTGCTTCCCTGGTGCTGGGATTAAAGGCATGTGCCACCTGTGCCCAGCTAACAGACTTCTCTTAAGAGAGAAGGAATAAGTTGCGGTTTCCAGGATTTCCATCCATGGTTTCTTGGCCATGTCACTGCGCAGTCAGTACACCTTGCAGGAAGGAAATGTAGAAATGTCTGTTCATTTCACTGAGCTCAGGAAACACAAAGAGGGGAACGGTTGTAGTCTCAAGTCCCCTTTCAGGACACAACTTAAATGCCTAATATCCTCCCACATGTCCTACGTTTTAAAGGCTCCTTTACCTCTTAATAAAGTGTAACTGAATGGCAAGACTTGGAGGATGTTTAAGATCCAGTCCATAGCACCTTCCTATCCCTAGGTCCTGAACTCAATAACAGCTACAAAATATCCCTTGCCACCAAATTAACATAAGCAGGGGTTCTGAAGAAATATAAACATATTTTCTTGACCATTATTCTGTGTATGACAACCATTTGGAGATTTCAATTGCTTTGTAGAAATCTAGTTTAGTAGTTTATTAAAATGGAATCATTAAATTTGCCTCATGGGGATGTAAATGGTCTAAACTAAGCATCAGGTGGAATGAAAGATAGAGGAAAGCCTTGTGCAGAGCCAGCAGCTCTGCTCTTCGGCAGCAGGTCTACTCAGATACCCCTCCTTATCACTGAATATGAGGCCATGCTTCCTCTTTGGCCGCAGTCTCCTCATCTCTAAGAGTGTGAATTTTTTCACGAATTATTTTTCTGCCTTTCTGTCCTGTTATTTGGAAGTCACTTACAATCAAGAGAATCAAGAGATGATGAGGGCCAGTCACGAGTAAGACAGAAATTTGAGGGTACTCCTCATGCAGGTAAGACAGTAGAATGGATGAGCATGTACAGAACCCAAACCAGAACCAAGACCTATCAAGATGGAAGAGTGGCTGGGGAAGAGACAGTGAGTGGAGACTGGAGAGCTGAGAGGGCTGAGAAAGCGTGAGAGGATAAAAAGGGGGTGTGAGGAGGAAAACTAAAGCCCTGGAAGTCAGGGGAAGAAAGAGTTCGCTGAAGGTATGATGTGATCATCCCCTTAGAAGGCACGTGCAAAGGACTGATGTGAACCATGACAACCCAGTAACACAGAAGGGGAGAACTGTGGATGTGAGGAGACAAAAGCAACTTCCGAGCAAGGCAAACAAATTAGGGGTAAGGAGGACCATGCTTTCTCAAATTTGATGGTAACCTGTCCACAGGGAGGTCTACAGAAGTCGGGAAGTTAAAGAAGAAAGCATTGAAGCCTATTTTTAACTCCAAAGAATAAAAAGAAATAGTTAGGTCTAGGAACCTCTCCTCCTATGTATTACAGGAGAGCAAAGGCTAGGGATGGTAGTGCTGAAGAGATAAAGGTATAGGGAAACACTGGGTGAGGTTACTGATTTTATCAGTAAAACTGGAAGCAAGGTCATCTGCAACATGTAAGACAGGAATTACAACTACCACCCAGTTCCTCAGAGTGTCCAACACCCTTGGGTCAGCAGTCTTGGAAGCCATTGAACTGAGTGCAGAGGTCAGAAAGATTATAGTTATGTATCATTATGCAGTGATATACAGTAAGAGATGTGATGCAGACTGTTTTGATGCGCACACATCACATCACCGAGTGTACTATCCAAACCTCGGGGGTGCGGTCCACTGCACAACTCTGCTGTCATGTATGGTCACCAACATAAACACACTAGTGGTTAGGGACATCACTTTAAAGCTTGAATTTGCTCAGATGAAGTACTGAGAGAGAACTTCAAAGACTTTTACATGAAAGACTTGGTGTTGGCCTTCATACAAAGACTACCTCCACCTAGCAATCATGTGAGGGTACAGGAACTGTTTTCTTTATACAGACAGAAAGAAGAATTTGCATGAAAACATTACTCATACTTGGTTATTTTATTATCATATATCATTGTTTACATTTTCTTTTTGACATTTAAGGATATTATAAACAAAAATCTCTGCATGGCATATGTAAGCAATAACAGTCTGAAGGGTAGCAGGCAGCTCTGTAAACCTAAGATCTACTCACACTGAAACAAGCTAGCTTGTGCAGAGTAACAATTGGAAGAGGTTAACACAATGGCATATTGGTAAGTACTCAGGTGTGTAAGAACAGCTGGATGGGAAGAACTCCAGTCTCACACACAGCCTTAGATGTGGATTTCATCTAGAAGTTAATCCCTCGGTCCAGTAGTGCTTTAATAACTCCTTTTGTTTGGCATTTAGCAATACAGACAAATGCATATTCAATTTAATGTGATTTTATTGTTCTTAGATGTTTTAGTCATTTTATATAGATAAAAACACACTATATTGCCTTTAAAACTTTCAGTTTTATAAGTGCGTAATTAAATGATAGCATACTTATAATGTCCAAAGTTATTTTTAATTGAACACTTGTTAACATGTAGCAGAGATTGACAAAATGGTTTCTATGACAACTTTTAATAAAAATGGAACATAAACCCAGACCACTGGTCTAAACCCTTAGTGATACCTCATGCTGGAAGCAAATTGTGAAATGTCTTAGACAGTCGTTTCTCAATGCTTAATCCTAAAGATTCAGAATTTTGACTGAAAATGCATGGAATTGAAAAATCCTTTTACCTGAAGCCATGTTTACATACCTTCATTTTCTAAAAGAAAAATAAAAGAGCCTGTATTTCAGTGTTTCTCAACCTTCCTAATGCTGCAACCCTTTAATATAGTTCCCCAGGTAGTGGTGACCCACAACAATGCATTTATTTTCATTGCTACTTTGTAACTGTAATTTTGCTACTGTTATGAATTATAATATAAATATCTGTGTTTTCTGATGATCTTTGGTGCCTCCTGTGAAAGGGTTGTGTGACCCCCCCAAAGAGGTCAAGACCTACAGATTGAGAACCACTGCTGTATTTTAATACTCCATCTCAGTTTGGGATCTCATCAGATTTTTTTTACAATATATGAAAAACAGGTCCATGTCCTTCATATATTATATCTAAGTGAATGGCAAAAACAATGACAGACCCTAGCATTTTTCTTTTCTTTAAGCCATTTTAGAAGAGTAAATTTTGCAGAGTGACAAATTTGCCATATTGGTAGCAAAGGTTATACAAACAATGTATGGAGGTGAACCAATTATATTTATCTTTATCTTAATACCAGTTCAAAAGCCTCAACTCATTATTTGATTTCTTAACAAGATACACTGAAAAAAATATGCATATGAGGTAAGGACTAGTCTTCAATGAAAACTGAAAATATTTTACAGATTATTTTGTTCGTTACATTTATGCAATGCACCATTCATTTCATTCATTAAAATACCTTGCACCAAACATGGCATCTTCAATCTTAACACTCCTCAAATATGAGAAAAACTAATAGCTTCCACTAGTCTAAGAAGTGAAATTTATAAGGTCAACATAATGAAAAGAATTGCAGACCCAACATAGCTTTTAAAGACAATTTATACACAATGAAATGAGTGCTTTGCTTAATAACTACAGAGCTAGACAAACTCCACTTCCCTTCCCTGCAGCTTGGTGAACACGGCTGCCTTGAGCACTTTACATGGTGGTATTCTGTTATCAATATAGAGGTGTCAGTGAAAGCAAACAGTGGCGTTCTCAGAATGCCACTTCTCTGAAAACACTGTTAAAATATAAGTGCTACTGTCTTAATATTTATGTAATAATTAAATAATTTTGGTAACATGTTATTTTCAAAATTTTCAACGTAAGGCACAGAGGAACATCTAAAGTCCAGAGCAAGTATATTACATAATAAATAGTTATCTCTCAGTCATCTTTGCCCTTTATCTGAAGAAAGAGGACAAGTAGTGCAGTAAAAACATGCCCGAATTAATAAAAATGATGGGATTTAGGAGACTCCAGTAATAATTGTGCAGAAAGAATATTAATTCAAAAAAAGATAAAGAATATTTATACAAAATAGACACCCTATTGTGTTACAGGTAGATAGAAAAAAATGTGAGGCACTTGTATTAACAGTGCAGAAGGAAAACATTGAGATTTTTCTTTTGATAAAAGCACCAAACCATTTATTTTAACATCTGAGACAAAAACAAGTTAAAAATACAGGAAATCAATTAGTCTTGTAACTCTGTATTTGGTATACTAACAAGAATCCTGAAGTTCAAAGCTCAAAGTACTTCACTGTTTTTCTGGCTGAAGTCACTGAGCAGAGAAGTTCAAATTTCCAGAGTCCTAAAGTTCTTCGCAGTGAGCACTGTGCACCCCGAGGTACGGAAGCCATGTAAATGCATGTGGTCTCTCCCTACGCTCCCAGGGAGCTTCCCATTCTACAGGTGACTGACAATATGTTTTTAAACTCTTTTTCTAAACACAAAGATTCAAATCTGGTTTGGAAAAAGAGTGCTGATGCCCAGCATTGACAGTTCCTGAATGAATTTCATCCTGGGCTTGAAGCTACAGGAATCCACTGGGTGTGATATCAGGAAAAGACCTGGCTTCTGCTGGATGATGAAGATGAGCAGCATTCTGAGTGTGACCAACACTGTTTAATTCAGACGAATAGGTTTCATTTAACACTCCCCGATTCTGAAACTGAAAACAAAAACAGCAGAGTGACTTGTTAGAGCTCTAAACAACACCTTAAAAGAACGCTCATCATAATCTGCATGATTCTTGCTGTTCCAATAACATGATAGGTATGATTTAATGAATTTATTTGTAATACATGTTTAATTAACTTTTCTGCGAGTTACCAAATGGAAAATGCTTGCTTGCTGTGTTGGTTGGTTTTATGTCAACTTGACACAAGCTAGAGTCATCAGAAAGGAGGAAACCTCTCAATTTAGAAAATGCCTCCAAAGATTGGATGGTAGGCCAGCTGGGGCTGAAGAATCAGCTGTTTTCTGAGAGCACAGAGAAGCTGTGTTCCAGAGGCAGCCAAGGTGGCACCTTGTGCTGACAGCTGAACCTGGTAGTGTTAGTGTCACCCAGGTGGTACTGGTTTTGAAGGCATGAAGGGGTCATGGAGAGTGGCTGAGGCTTGGTGCTGTGAGAGGCCAGGAGGTCATTGGTGAAAGTGCAGCTTCAGTGGCAGTTGAAAGCCCACAATTAAATGTGGTCATGGAGGGAACTTGAGGCTTGGCACCATGAAGAGAGTCCAGGACAGACTATTGGTGAAAGCGCAGCCGAGTTGCAGCAGAAGACCCCAGCATTTTGGAGATGTCAGTACCATGTGTTGACCACCAAGAACAGCAGCAGCTACAGTGGGGCCGCTGGATCCTAGAAGATCAACTGTTATGCTGCAGAGGCGGAACATGCCCTTTGGAGGAGCCCAGAAGACTGGGAGTGGGTCCCAGACATTGGACAGTGAGTTATTTAGAGTTGGAGTATGGTTTTGCTTTGATTTTATTGTAATTGTGCCTTGGCTCTTTCCTCTTGAAGTTAGAGGGTATTTAATTGTATTTTGATTTATAGGACTCCGCAGCTTAAAGACTTTGAACTTTTAAAAGAGATTTTGGATTTTAAAAGATATTGGATATTTTAAAGAAATCAAACTTTTAATGTGTTCAAATTTGTAAAGATCATGGGACTTTTAAAGTCATTTATCTTTTACATTTATCTCTTATATATCTTTTATATTTATTTTATATTAATATTAATGTGCCATCTTGGGGATAAATGAGAAAGGAAAGGTTGACTGAAAAGTGATGTTTTGTGTGTCAAGTTGACAAAGGTCAGTACTGGCTAGTTTTATGTCAACTTGACTCAGTTAAAATTACTGGAGAGGAGACAGCCTCAATTGAGAAATTGCCTCCATAAGATCTGGCTGTAGGCAAAAGCCTGTAGAGCATTTTCTTAATTAGTGGTTGATGTGGGAGGGCCCAGCCCTTTGTGTGGGTTCCATAAGAAAGCAGGCTGAGCAAGCTATGGAAAGCAAGAAAGTAAGGAGCATTCCTCTATGACATCTGCATGAGCTCCTGTCTCCAGGTTTCTGCCCTGCTTGAGTTCCAGCCCCTGTTTTTTGATGATGAACTGTTATATGAAACTGTGAGTGAAATAAACCCTTTTCTCCTCAAGTTGCTATTGGTCATGGCATGTCACCAGAGCAATAGTAACCATAACTAAGACACTTGCCTTCTTACACCAAAACTCATTTTCAGGACTGCTGGAAAAAAGGAAGGACAAATATAAGAGTTCTGTAGGGGCCCACAGAGGCTCCCTAGTAAGGCCTTACTCAAGGTCAGAAAGTCTGAGCTTGCTTTACCTAGCAAGGCTGCACAATGGATGATTTGGCCAAAGGCGTAGTTACCAGGTGTTTTGAAGGGTCTACACTTGGTTGTACATTTTGTTTTGATCTTGAAAGGGGAGGTCTTTTGCTTCTCCCCTTGCTAGTTTATAGAAAGCTCATTAGAAATAAACTCAAGATTGCTGGGTATTGACCCAGGGTCCTCCCAAAGCTATCCTGCATCTCTATCCTTTTTCTTCATCTACTTCTATATTTCCTTACTAGGGAGCCTCTGTGGGCCCCCACAGAGCTCATAGTCTATTGAACCCTCACATTATAGTGTATAGTTGATGAAATAAAATAAAGTAAGATAAGTCATAAAATCATTCCTGAGCTGCTTCAATTAACTCATTTATTTTGTAGTGCTGGAGATCCAGTGAAGGGCCTTGCCAACCTTCTAGATCCAGCTAATACATGCTAGTTCAGTGCTCCACCATGGAGCTATACTCAGGACCTTTTTGCAATTTTATTCTGTCTCACTGTTTTCCAGGTTGCCTTTGAACTCACTCTATAGCCCCAACACCAGGCATGAGAAGCACCCTTTTGAACTGTTGGTCACGGTTTTATATACCTACAAGTAATGTACAGACTGTACAGGTTGTATTTGTATATTTTGGAACACAGACACAACTGTACATGCCAACAATTAAAGAGATCATCAATTTGAAAGAGAGCAAGGGGGATAGACAGCAAAGGTTGGAGGAAGGAATGGGAAGGAGGAAAGGATGTAATTATATTTTAATTTCAAAAAAAGAAACTTTTAAAAAATAAAATTTCATGTGTATGGGTGTTCTGCCTGCATGTATACATGTGTGACACAAGTGTGCAGTGTTCAAGGAGGCAGAAGAGGTCACTGGATCCCTGGGAACTGAATTGTCGACAGTTGTGAGCTGCCCGTGTGGGTGCTGGGAATAAAATACAGGACCTTCAGCAGAACAAGCAAGAAATAGATGAGCTATTTCTCCAGGTCCAAAATGTTAGTTTTTATAATCGTCACATAATGATTCATATGTACATTCATTTATCACTTACATTAGGAACATTTCCTTTTTCTAGTAATGTTGAATCATACAGGGAATTACTGCTGACTATTGTCATCCTACTATGTGTTCATGTTATTTGTGTATTAGTACAGTGAATTACTGTTGACTGTCATCCTACTCTGTGTTCCTGTTGTCTATCAGTACCCAGTGAATTACTGCTGACTGTCATCCTACTGTGTGTTCCTGTTGTCTATCAGTACCCAGTGAATTACTGTTGACTGTCGTCCTACTGTGTGTTCCTGTTGTCTATCAGTACCCAGTGAATTACTGCTGACGACTGTCATCCTACTGTGTGTTCCTGTTGTCTATCAGTACCCAGTGAATTACTGCTGACGACTGTTGTCCTACTATGTGTTCCTGTTGTCTATCAGTACCCAGTGAATTACTGCTGACTGTCATCCTACTATGTGTTCCTGTTGTCTATCAGTACCCAGTGAATTACTGTTGACTGTCGTCCTACTGTGTGTTCCTGTTGTCTATCAGTACCCAGTGAATTACTGTTGACTGTCATCTTACTCTGTGTTCCTGTTGTCTATCAGTACCCAGTGAATTACTGTTGACTGTTGTCCTACTGTGTGTTCCTGTTGTCTATCAGTACCCAGTGAGTTACTGCTGACGACTGTCATCCTACTCTGTGTTCCTGTTGTCTATCAGTACCCAGTGAATTACTGTTGACTGTTGTCCTACTGTGTGTTCCTGTTGTCTATCAGTACCCAGTGAGTTACTGCTGACGACTGTCATCCTACTCTGTGTTCCTGTTGTCTATCAGTACCCAGTGAATTACTGCTGACGACTGTCGTCCTACTGTGTGTTCCTGTTGTCTATCAGTACCCAGTGAATTACTGCTGACGACTGCCGTCCTACTGTGTGTTCCTGTTGTCTATCAGTACCCAGTGAATTATTGTTGACTGTCATCCTACTGTGTGTTCCTGTTGTCTATCAGTACCCAGTGAATTACTGCTGACTGTCGTCCTACTGTGTGTTCCTGTTGTCTATCAGTACCCAGTGAATTACTGCTGACGACTGTCATCCTACTCTGTGTTCCTGTTGTCTATCAGTACCCAGTGAATTACTGCTGACTGTCGTCCTACTATGTGTTCCTGTTGTCTATCAGTACCCAGTGAGTTACTGCTGACGACTGTCATCCTACTGTGTGTTCCTGTTGTCTATCAGTACCCAGTGAATTACTGCTGACTGTCATCCTACTGTGTGTTCCTGTTGTCTATCAGTACCCAGTGAATTACTGTTGACTGTCGTCCTACTATGTGTTCCTGTTGTCTATCAGTACCCAGTGAATTACTGTTGACTGTCATCTTACTCTGTGTTCCTGTTGTCTATCAGTACCCAGTGAATTACTGTTGACTGTCGTCCTACTATGTGTTCCTGTTGTCTATCAGTACCCAGTGAATTACTGTTGACTGTCATCCTACTATGTGTTCCTGTTGTCTATCAGTACCCAGTGAGTTACTGCTGACGACTGTCATCCTACTCTGTGTTCCTGTTGTCTATCAGTACCCAGTGAATTACTGCTGACTGTCGTCCTACTATGTGTTCCTGTTGTCTATCAGTACCCAGTGAGTTACTGCTGACTACTGTCGTCCTACTATGTGTTCCTGTTGTCTATCAGTACCCAGTGAATTACTGCTGACTACTGTTGTCCTACTATGTGTTCCTGTTGTCTATCAGTACCCAGTGAATTACTGCTGACTGTCGTCCTACTATGTGTTCCTGTTGTCTATCAGTACCCAGTGAATTACTGTTGACTGCCGTCCTACTATGTGTTCCTGTTGTCTATCAGTACCCAGTGAATTACTGTTGACTGTCGTCCTACTATGTGTTCCTGTTGTCTATCAGTACCCAGTGAGTTACTGCTGACTACTGTCGTCCTACTATGTGTTCCTGTTGTCTATCAGTACCCAGTGAATTACTGCTGACTACTGTCATCCTACTATGTGTTCCTGTTGTCTATCAGTACCCAGTGAATTACTGCTGACTGTCGTCCTACTATGTGTTCCTGTTGTCTATCAGTACCCAGTGAATTACTGTTGACTACTGTCGTCCTACTATGTGTTCCTGTTGTCTATCAGTACCCAGTGAATTACTGCTGACTGCTGCCGTCCTACTATGTGTTCCTGTTGTCTATCAGTACCCAGTGAATTACTGCTGACTACTGTTGTCCTACTATGTGTTCCTGTTGTCTATCAGTACCCAGTGAATTACTGCTGACTGCTGCCGTCCTACTATGTGTTCCTGTTGTCTATCAG